TAAAAAAATAATATTAGTACTAAATTTATAAATTGTCAAAAGTTGAGGGGGACGGCCACCCCACCTCCTCCGCCCGCCATTATTCCCTTACATAGCAGAGTTCTGTTTTTTCTCAATAGGAACCGAAGAAATTTATAAAGGTTGATTTCAATCTGCAGCATGTTGTTGGTTCCTAGCTAAAAATAAAAGAAATACAGCTAGGTCTAAACAACTAGCGCAATTGTTGTTTTTCTGGCATTTATGTCGGAGTCAGAGTATGTATTTCCAAAAAAATAAAATATAAAAAATAAAAATTGAATCCTGAAATCTTCGATTCAAAACAAACGCTACCCACAAATTTATTTAATTTCAACGAATTCTCTCGCTCCAACCACGTATTGGTTATTATCAATATGGACATTCTTCTTAGAATTTATTTTCCATTTCCATATATTAATCTTCTCATTTTCAGTTCTTCACATTCACAACAATTTTCTCGGCAACCAAACAGGGCTCACAATTGTAGGAACCCAGAACTTCTATTTTCTCGGGCAGGAAAACCACGTTGACATCAGTTTACCAATTTTCGGATTCACTGAATCTGGATGGAATTCCAGCTCTTCTTTCCCCTACCCGTTTCTTTCTTCCATGAATATAATATTTGATCACCGGCGCAACCACCAGCACCATCGAGATTGCACGGCAGGCGAAAAGGTAACTAATTTTTAGGTACTAACAGTTTTTTTTTTCCACCGCATAAACACTTTTTACTATTTTGTTTGCTTTCGTTGATGCTACATATGTTGGAAAAGGGGAGAAGAAGATCCTTCCACTTGTGTGGGACTCAAATCTCGTCTTTCCACTATCAATGGCTTCCATGCGAGGCGTAACAAAGGGGGTGACTTCGATTTTCAAACCGTTCTTTTTCTCCTCTTTTTAACCTCCCCTTTATTCTTCTTCATAAGCAAATGCAATTTGTAAATATGCTCATGGAATTTCAATCTCTATGTGTATGTTAGTAATTTAAAAAAAAAAAAAATTAAATTAATTGATTAATCATGTTAATTAATTTATTGATTAATTATTATGATATTGTTGCTAGTTATTGGTATCGTTAAAAGTTGGCTTTTGGGTTTTTCAAAATGAAAGCTTTAGCATCTATGACTCTGTATGTTCCTTTCAGTTAATCCTTTTCTGGGTATTTCAGCATTTGAGTTTCTGACCACAGTTTTTAAAGTTAAAATTCTTGGAAATAGTACTTGTTGTTTTGTGAGAAGTGACAGTAACTTCCGGTTATAGATTCTGATTCCCTACATCATGATCTTGATGTTCTTTAATTGTTTTAAGGCTTGAGTGATAAAGCGAAAATGAAACGTTTACTTTAGTTAGAATGTATGGATCAGACTTCACTTGGTTTGTACCGAACCTGGAAAATTCTCCTTTTATCGACTGGTTCTCATTTCTCATAGACTGGAGGTATAATTTTTTTCACCATTTACTTTTCCAACTTTTGTTGTCATAAACTTGTAAAAAGTCTTAAGTTCAAATCTCAAGTCTCAATTTCGAATCTTTTCGTCCTTGATTGCGTAACCGGTTCAAATTGAAGAAAGAAAAAGAACAAAAGAGAATGCCACTTGGAAACAGACAAAATTGCGGTTATAAGGAAGGCTGGTTTTTTAGCTGTTCCCACTTGTTTTCCAAAGTCAACAGCATCTAAAGCTTCATAGTATATACTCTATTATAAGCACAATAATTAGAGAGGAGATGATTATTTTTTAACATCAATTGCTACGAATAGTCTCTCTGTCTGCTGGTTATGGACTAGAAAATTTTGTTTTTACTTTGCTGCCTGTCATGTATTTGACTTGTTAAAAATTCAGATTCATGCATAATTGTTGTTTCAGATCTATCTTTAGACTGTTAAATCTGACCTGAAATCCTCTTACAACTTATATAAGCAAGGTCTGTCCAAGGTTTCCTCCAAGTTCATGTTCTTTCAATTTGAAGAAGGCTTTGTATTGTAACTTCTCAGTGATTGCCTGCAAACCTCACCTGCCTTCTATCGTTTGGTTAGCTTCAGTTTCTTTGTCTCTTTTACCCTATCAAAATTCTATTTTACTACCCAGTTTGATGATCTTTTTATCACGACAAAGCTCAAGAATTAGTGGATTTTGAGCTAAATTTTGCATGTAGTAAAAAATAAGTAAAAAGTAAAGGCATGGTAGTTAAATAATATTTCTTGTGGTTTTGCATGGATTTCAAGCTTCTGTTTCATTACTTGGTGCTCATACAGCAAATGAATTAGCAGTGCTTTCTTTCTGATACAGGTTTAATTTTCTTGCACTTCAGAAAAGTTGATCTTACATGGGTTCGCGGGCTGATGATGATGAGGTTGAAACAAAGGAGCTGGACATAAGAAGCGTGTCATCCTCTAGCCGACAGACACATAATATGCAGTATGTCCACAAGGTGGGAGTTCCTCCCAAGCAGAACCTCTTCAAGGAATTTGCAACCACTGTCAAAGAAACATTCTTTGCAGATGATCCTCTACGCCCCTTCAAGGATCAACCAAAGTCCCGGAAGTTCATCTTAGGCATCCAGGCCATCTTTCCCATTCTTGAATGGGGAAGAAGTTACAACCTTACCAAGTTCAAAGGTGATATCATCGCTGGACTGACCATTGCAAGTCTCTGCATTCCTCAGGTATTTTTGCTAGTCCTGATCCTG